GCTTCACCCCTTTTTTGTTTTCATATTATTTTGTGACTTTACAAGCACGAGCTGCTTCCCAGAGTTAGTGACTTCCTTTGATTAGATGCCACTCAGTTGTTTTGAGTAGTCTCAGCCTGTGTTTGGGTATTTGTGTTCATGCTCTGCATCTCCAGGGCTGAGATGGATTGCCTGTGCCCTTTTCAGCCTCTGTCGTCTCTGCTGGTGCTGTGCGGCTTCCTCGAGGGTTTCTTGGAAAATGCAGAAGTGTGGGAGATTGATTGTCCATCTCATGTCCTTGCACTTCCCAGAGATTACCATTAAAGCCACTGTAAGGAGCTTAATGTGAAATTCCGTGAGGCTGGAAGAGCTGCAGGGAAGCAAATTAAACTCTGGCATGAAATAGGAGCTGTGGCTGTTTAACCACAGCCCCATCCTGCCTGGGGCCCTGCAGTGCCCCAGACCTGCATCTGCCCTCCGTGCCCCGGGCTCTTGGGCTGTTATGTAACACCCCAACCATCAGCACCCTGGTGGCATTCTGTGGGATTTGGATAAAATGTGCTCTCAGGGCTGCACCTGGGCAGAAAATGGTCTTTAATGGCATTACTGGGAGGGCTCAGGGTGGGAGGTTGGTGCAGGACAGGGCTGGGGAGAGTGCAGGCAGTGAGAGCAGGGTGGGGTTCTGGGGTGTGCTTTGGGGCTGGGTTCAGAGCGTTTTCACTGCTGGGAGGGGACAGTGCAGCTGTGTGCTGGTCTCAGTGCAGGTTTTTGGGAAGGACCTTTCAGCTCATGCAGCCCAGCACCACCACAGTGTTCAGCACTAACTGGGTCCTCAAGAGCCACATCCACTCATTTTTCACATGCTCCAGGGACACTGACCCCAGCACTGCCCAGGGCAGCTGTGCAGGGCTTCACAACCCTTCACAAAACAAACCCCAAAACACTGAATGCAGGGGAGAAGAGCTGCTGCTGCAGTTAGAAATTAACTCCTGCGTTTTATGGGTACCTTTTATCTCTTCAAGCTTAATGTTGGCTTAATGCAGTTGATGCCTATCATTTAGAAACCCAGTTTATATCCTCTTTCATAATTATACTTCTCAGTGTTTGATAATGCTCTTTATACCTTATTTAATCTTTTTGTTTTGTCTAATGCCTGTAACAGTAAGTCCATAAAAGCAAGATGAGGCCAGACCTTTTGTCATTTGGTTGCACTTTGAAATATTAATTTCTTAACATACAGGAAAATAATGTTTGTGGACAGCAATAAGAAATTTGTTTTGATCTTTGACTTTAAAATTATCTGTCTCACAACAGGGGTATAACCTTTTGTGGTATGGTCTTGGCAGTAGAGTTGTGCTGCTAATGCAAAGGTAACAGTGTTTTCTTGAACAACTAAACCCCAAAATATAGCAGAAAACATAGCCAGGGTAGTTATTTAACCTCAGAGAACATGTTTTGGAATTCCCAGCTCCTGGGATGCAGGAGTGGCTGTGGCTCTGAGTCATGGAGGCTCTGTGGGGATCCTGGGGCTGCTGCTGAGCCATCCCTGGTTATCATGGAAAACCCCAGTGCACGGGGAGGGACTGGGGATGGAGGGTGGCACAGGGACAGACAGTGGCACGGGGACAGAGAGTGGACCTGGAGGATGGAGGGTGGCACGGGGACATGGAGGGTGGCACAGGGACAGAGGGTGGCACAGGGACAGAGGATGGCACAGGCTGGTTTGGGGATTAACATCTGGAGCAGCCACAGAGGTTTGTGTTAGGAGTGATTCTCGTGGCTGAACTAAATTGAAAACTGCTATTTGGATTCAGGTCTGTATTGCTTTAAAGGGTTATTTTGGGAGGAAGAAAAGTAGACTGGTCTTTCATTATTAAATCCCATTAAACTTCAGGGTGTCTGTTGGGATGATTTTAGACTGTCAAGTTTGCATAACTCTGCAAACAGAAGTGAATGTAGTTTTCAGGGGTTTTAAATTTTAAATTAAAGCTTCAAATATCATAGAATCAGGCAGTGGTTTGGGTTGCAAGGGACCTTAAAGACTGCCAAGTTCCAACCCCCTGCCATGGGCACGGATACCTTCCTTACACATTGCATAAGCATATTTTTTTATTTAAACTTCCAGATTAATTTTCTTTGACCTTGTAGCATAAACTACATTGTGTTCTAGTTTAACTTAATTCATTTTCAGGCTTTGAGCAAAAAATGCACAGCTAGTCCTTGTGTTAGAAGAATATCTTTTAATGGGGATCATGTCTCGCTTCCTCAAATTTTAAATTACGTCTGCATTGAGGAGCTGCTTCATTTACTCTGTATTCCTGGTTTATCTACAGGATTAGATGTTTTTCTGGAACCAGCTTCCCTATTCCTTAGTGAAATCCTTCCTGAACTGCTCTTCTGGAGCTTTATTCTGCCCTGCTGCTCAATACCTTCCCTGATTCAGATGCTAATGTGTGGTGTCTGGCAAGGGACCGGCATTAGCATACTGAGAATGGATTTGAAAAAGACCTTTTTTATTTGCGTGCTTATATTTTATAAATAGCCTGAAGGGGAGGATGGGGTGTTTTGTAAATGGTTTGCAGAGCTGAGATCCAGTGGGCTCTGATTGCTGTGGCATTTCCAGTACCCTTACCCCAGCCCCTTCGTGAACGTGGAGCCTTTGTTATTAACACCTACACAGCAGGAATGATGCCATGAACTCTCTTACACGTTTACTATTCTTTAAATGTTTGAATTCTCATGGTACTTCCTTGGAATTGGGAAATGCAAGCAGCAAAGATGGTGCTCCCTGGGGCACTGCACCTACTGCAGGGGGGGTTTGGGAGGTGGAGGCTGAGATATTGGGCAGGAACTGGGTTTCTTCCACTTTGTGACAGAAAGGGTTTTAAAATCTATTCCCTGTAACTGAAGTGTGCCTGAAGCATGAATGTGACTGCACCCATAACAATTCCAAACGTGATGCAGAAATGTTTAAGCAATTGAAATGGTGAAGAAGGGACTGGATTTCCTTTTGTGGTTTTTGTTTTCCCCCAGTTGTGCTGGCTGCAGTTACCTGACTGTGGCTCATTCTCTGCTTTTCTTGCATTGAATAAATGTGGTCTTCTCCCTTCTGCCTTTTGCTGGCTGTCCCCAATGGCATCTTAGTGAAACCGGGCTGGGATTTTTTCTCTGAAAACGGAGCTGGTGCTAATAGAGAGACTTATGTGAGAATTAGTTCTTTTTGTAAGACTTTCACCAGTCACTGCTAGCCTTAGGTGCAAAGAAGCAGATTTTCTGTGTTGAGAAGCTTGTTGCTAAACCTCTTACTGAGCTAAAGCCCTGCTGGAAGTGATCTCTCTATTGGTGAAATCAAGAGTGCTTGTGGTGTGTGTGCCAGGCTGATGGAGCAGGGCAGGTTTGGTACCCACACTCACAGGGAGAACCTCATTGCTGTGCTGGGAGAAGTCGTGTTTGTCTTGGTAGGAATCCAAGGCAAAACTGATCTAAACTCGGTTCCACAGGGAAAGGCTGGGTCTGCCAAGAAAAGGCACTCCTGTGTGGATGTACACAGGGAGTTTTAGAGACTCTTTTTGCTTCAGTTCGTCTTTCTTCTCTCACGTTTTGAGTTTTCCATCCCTTGTGGTGTAAATGTTTGTCTTCCTGGTACTTTGTGCATCTTTGGATAGATCCAAGTTAATGCTGCCCCAGCCAACATGTGGATATGGTCTGACATCTCCTTCTGGCTTCATTTATGTCACATTTGTGGTTTACCCTAAAGCCCTTCTAAACTCACCTTCATTCAGAGTGTGCTGATCCAGGGGGTGCCATTATTTATGGACATAATGAAGGACACATTTATTGCACTCACGTGAGGCTTTCAGATGAGTTTGGTTCTGTTCAGCTCAGCCTCAGTCCCCTCCTTCCTCCAAGAAAGAGAACTCAGGAAAAAGACTCCTTCTGATGGGGAGTGGGGTTATTATTCCATGTGGGGTTTGCCTTGCCAGCTCCTGGTGAGCGAGGGAGCCAGGGGAGGTTACTCCAGTGCCAAGGGCTGTTCAGCCCTGGTTTGCCCAATGTTCAGCTGCTGCTCTGACTGCCTGTGAGTGTGTCAGGGCTGTTGGGAGAATAAATAAATCCCAGCTCTGGCAGAGCAGTGGGAGTGTGGGTTAGTCTTTGCTGTGACACTGAGGAGCACTGGAGAGAGAAGTGCTGGAGAGAGGAAGGGTGATAAGAAATAAAGACAGACCCAGAGAGTTTATTTGGGAGCCAGCCAGAGTGTAAACAAATCACCCAGGGAGATGAATTTGGAGTGATACCAAGTGAGGAGAGGCTGTGAATGGATAAAACCAGAAGGTAATTTAAGAGCATGGATATATACTGAGATCAAGAGGAAATGTTATCTTGATCCTTGTGTTTGGAAGGCTGCAGGAGGGAGGATGTGAGATGAAATGGAAGAAATGGGTTTATTTTAGTCAAAACACAGAGGAGGAAAAAAGCCTTATCATTCGGATGGGATGGGTGGATAAAAGGAAATTATCCCAGTGTGTGTTGGAAGGTCGGTGGCAGCATGGAGAGGGGGTGAATGTGTCTGTGCCATTCTGTGAGCAGCTCTGCCAGTATCACAGCAAGAGGGACAAACTCCAGGGCTACTGAGCCCAAAGGACTGCGGGGTTTGAATGAGGATCTCACCAGTCCAAGTACATGGAGTGCTGGGGTTTGAAATTACAGCACTGTGTGCAGTAATAGAAAAAATGTAAATAAGATGAGCATGAAACAACTATAAAATGTTTTCCTTCAACACTGATGAGAGTTTTCTTTGCCTCCTTGGTTGTGAGGGTGTTCAGACAGATGAGCTGTTCCATTTTCCTGTGTGGAGAAGGTGGCAGTGAAGAAGGAACAGTCTCCTAGCACTGCCCACTTTCTGTCATTGTTGGTTCAGGTCAGAACTGGCGTGTGCCTGGCAGATGTTGGGCACCCCGTTAGTCATGTCATTCGTGGATGGGGTGGCTGTTCAGCTGAATTTATTCTGCTCTGCCTCGCAGTTGAACGATGCATGAGTGTGATGCAGTCTGGGACGCAGATGGTGAAGCTGAAGAGTGGAACCAAGGGGCTGGTCCGGCTCTTCTACCTGGACGAGCACAGGACCTGCATCCGATGGAGGCCCTCCCGGAAGAGCGAAAAGGCAAAAAGTAAACCCCTCACATTTCTTCTAATTTCTGGGGCTGTTCAGTATTAGAATGTGACTTACAGAGCTACACAGGGGCTCGTGGGCTGATGGGAGACACTTGGTGTCTGTGTCCTGTAGCCTCAGCCCCGCGATGTTGCGGGCAGTGCTCGGAGCCTCCGGGGCAGCCGGCACGTGGCACAGCCATGGCAGGGAAACCTTCAGTCCAACGGGGCTTTGGGATGTGAAGCTGTAACATTAATAAAGTTTAATGCCTCTGAGCCTGAATAACTCTGAACTGGGAGCAGCAGGAAGAGGCTGGCTGGCTGTCCCAGCGTGGCCTTTGGTTTCCCTTTCCCCCAGTTGTCATCGACTCCATTTACAAAGTCAGCGAGGGCCGGCAGTCGGAGATCTTCCACCGCCACGCCGAGGGCAGCTTCGACCCCAGCTGCTGCTTCACCATTTACCATGGCAGCCACCTGGAGAGCCTGGACCTGATCACGTCCAACCCCGAGGAGGCTCGCACCTGGATCACGGGGCTCAAGTACCTGCTGGCCGGGATCAGCGACGAGGACTCGCTCGCCAAGCGCCAGAGAACGCACGACCAGTATCCTTTGAGGGCCAGCCCTTCCTCCTGGCTCATATTCCTGCCTCGGTGTCCAGTCACTGCAGCACAGCGTGGCCTTTCTCCTCCTATTCAGTGACCAGAACCCTTCCACTGACTGCAAGGGAAACCTGAGCAGTGGGTTTGACATGGACACTTAGGTGTGTGATAAACCATGGGCTGTGCCTTGGGGACTGGATCAGACTGCTCGGGAGTCAGGGGATAGGCTTGCATTTTGTTAATGAATTCCTTTTTGAAGGGGAGAAGCAGCTATAACTATTTCTAGTTTCTAGTTATCTCAATATCTCAGTAACTCCTGGCCATCTCTGTTGCTTTTGTGTAAGTCAGATGCCTGTGTCCTTTCCAGCCTCCATTGTTTGTCAGGAGCACAAATCCTTAAAGCTCCTTAAATGTTTGTTGTAGCCCTGTAGCCAAAGTGAACCTCATGTTCTCTGAATATTTTCTTCATGTGCCTTTTTTTTCCCAGTAGTTTTTTTTTTCACAACAGTGATGACTAAAATGTTATACACAAAGAACACTCTTCCCCCAAAAACCAAACCCCAAGGCCATCTTAATTAAAACTGTAACCTGTCTGTTCTTCTGCCTCATAGAAATCTCCAGTGATACTCCTGGAGAATATACATATTTCAGGTATTTTTAATTTACATCTCCCGTGTTTGATTCTGATTCACAGCAGGCACAGGTCCATTGGGGTTGTATTGCATGCTCTGTTGCACCTGTCCTCAGCTTGCTATATTTAACCATGGCTTTTCTGAGCTGCTCCTGTCTCTGCACCTTCTCTCCTGGTGGAACATCACTGCAAGTCCTGTTTGTTTTATCCAGCGTGGCAGCTGGGAGGCTGCACACAGAATGGCCCTGTCCCACTCCCAGCTACTGCAGGAACTTAGCAGGAGGTGCTGAGGGATATTTGTGCAAGGAGGGGCTGAAAGGTGCTGTTGGGAAGTGAAGTTCAGGTAGAAGGAAGGGACAGGTGGAAGAAGATCCCAGAGTAAGCCCAGCCATGTTTGAAAACTTTGGAGCAGGTTATCAGAGCATCAGAAATGGGAGTGCAGAGGGGCTGGAGCTGTGAACTGAGCTGTGAATAATTGCCACAACCCAGTTCTGGTTTTAAGCACTGGGCTGAGCTGTAGTGAGGGCAGGGACATAAAGGTTCTTTCCTGAGCTGCCCTGTGCATGGGGAGATGGCGTGTGTGCCTGTCCTTGACACGCTGGCAGCTGGGTGAAGCAGACCTTCGAGGAGGCTGACAAGAACGGGGACGGGCTGCTGAACATCGAGGAGATCCACCAGCTGATGCACAAGCTGAACGTCAGCCTGCCCCGCAGGAAGGTCCGGCAGATGTTCCAGGTGTGTGCTGGGCACCGGGGACACTCACACCCACTGCTGGCACACCCAGAGCAGGCTGTGCACCCTGGGCACCAGGCGACACTCACACCCACTGCTGGCACACCCAGAGCAGGCTGTGCACCCTGGGCACCAGGGGACACTCACACCCACTGCTGGCACAGCCAGAGCAGGCTCACCCTGGGCACCAGGGGACACTCACACCCACTGCTGGCACACCCAGAGCAGGCTCACCCTGGGCACCAGGGGACACTCACACCCACTGCTGGCACACCCAGAGCAGGCTGTGCACCCTGGGCACCAGGGGACACTCACACCCACTGCTGGCACACCCAGAGCAGGCTGTGCACCCTGGGCACCAGGGGACACTCACCCGACAGGCTTTCACAGCCAGAGCAGGCTCACCCTGGGCACCAGGGGACACTCACACCCACTGCTGGCACACCCAGAGCAGCCTCTGCAGCTGCCAGAACAAAAACCCAGCACCTGACAGGCTTTTTCAAAGCCTTACCTTTTTGTAGGCAAAGAGGCATCAGAGTTGTTTAAAGGACATGAAGCACACTGAAAAGTTACCAATGTTACTCTTTCTGCTGCATTGTTGGTTTCACCACTGTGAACTGAACTGTTCAATGCTGGTATTGATGGACAATGAAGTTACTCTTTGCTACTAAAATATTTTTTTATGTCCTTTATGGAAAATTATTTAATAAAAACTGACTTTATGCAAGTAATTAGGTTTTCTTTAATAACTTCCTTATATTTAGCCATTCAGATTTGATTGGTTTAGAATAAATTTTTTACTTCTGTTGTCTGAAAACAGCTCCCATTTTCAACCAGTCATTGTGTTTACTGCAGGAAAGGAAAGATAAGCCAAGGACATAATGGAGAGCAAAAAGAGTCATCTTCACTTTTCTAAAGCAGTACCAGCTCAAAGCTGGTTTGCTGTAAAACATGGGAAAGTTGAAGAATCTTCTATGGCATAAAATCCCCATTAGAGATACATCTTTGGAGTCTGGAGTTACTGCCAAAGACCTGGGAACTGGTGGGGTGGTGTTGCAGAGATTAATTTGGGTTTTACTCATTCCCACAGATTATAAATACCATTTAAGGTATGTAATAGATCTAAAATGATTAAAAACCCCATTCAACACCATTTAGCTGAGAATTCCTTTCCTCTCAGCTGACTTGCAGTGGTAGGAGTTCACAGCTCCTTTCTGCATGGAGACCCACACAGTGCCTGCCAGCCGTTCTCCAGAAGATGTTCTTTGTTTTGAAAATCCACAGCAATCCTCTTAGGCAGATGTTCACAGGAAAAAGCTTGTATTAGTGTGTGCTAAGTACTGATTTCTTCTCTGCCTACCTCTGAGGAGAAAGAGCAGATCGAGCCTGGAGATGCTGGGTGTGTGTTTTGGGGTGGTCTCAGTGCAGAGCTGTCCCTCTGCAGAGTGCTGCTGGGGTGAGAGTGCTGCACATTAAATCATGTGCATTTAACACCCTGAGACTGTCCTGAATGCCTTAAGACTATTGTTGGGGAAGCCTTGGGTGATATTCTTATGCCTCTTGCTGTGTTTTAATCCAGGATAACTGCAGGGCATACAGGAGGGCAGGAGATCAGAATAAAGCCCAGGGTGAGCCTCTTTCTTGGGGAAATAAACATGAAATTAAAGAAGGAAATTAGAGTTTTAGAGGGAATCTGTGGCTTTAGTTTAGTAGCTGTTTTCACCAAAAACCTCAGAGATGATGATATAATTTTGCAGTTATTTTAGCCTATTAGGATTTGTGTCTGAACGGTCTTGCAGACTAGAATTTATTACATTTCTGTTGGTGTACACAAATCCTGCTCTGTTTTATTCCCTGATTTCTCCTGTGCTGAGCATGTTTATCTAAATGTCATTACCTCTTAGGAGGCAGACACAGATGAGAACCAAGGAACCCTGAACTTTGAAGAATTCTCAGTGTTTTACAAGATGATGTCCTTGCGTCGAGACCTCTACCTGCTGCTCCTGAGCTACAGTGACAAGAAGGACCATCTCACTGCTGAGGAGCTGGCCCAGTTCCTGAGGGTGGAGCAGAAGGTAGGCCAATATCTGCACCCATGGCTATGGCCATGCACTTATGTTCAAGGGTAGGGAAGGATTTTATGGAAAATAATAACTTGGGGCAGAGGACAAAGCACACACGTGACAGAAGAGAGTTCTGAAGGTTTTTTGAAATGCTTCTAGAAAGAGTTTGAGCTGCTTTGGATGGTTTTTGAAGTGCCCAGGATGGTGGTGTGAGAGGGTGCTCAGGGACGTGGAGCAGGAGGAGGAACACGTGGCAGAGGTGCCTTTGGGGGGTCATTATGGACCTGCTGATGCAGCAGAAACCTGGAGCTGTCTGTCAGTCTGGCATTCTGCATCCTCTCAGCGCTCTGTGAGCCCTCCTGAGAGCACTGCGTGGGCAGAGCTGGCTGGGGAACTGCTCTGCTCAGCACTGCCATCCATAAAGAGTGAAACCTGCAGGTGAACCTCTGGGCTGGGCAGGTGGAGACACCTTGCACCCCTGTGCCCCTTCCCAGTGCCCAGCACTGGGAGGTCAGGGAGATTCCCCCAAATGTGCCCAGTGCCACCACGCCCTGGGGCAGGGCAGCATTGCCCCAAAAGCTGATCGTGCTCCCAGCCAGGAGGCAGCTCCCCAGTGCCCTCACCCAAACAGCATTTTGCTTTTGCTGTTGTCTGGATGCTTGGAAATCTGTGGACAGTCTGTTCTGCTCCATCTGCTCCTCATTTGGCAAGATATGAAATGTTCTGCAGCCTGAGGACAGAACAAAAGAGGGTTGGGGCTTTTATTAGCCTGCTAAACTGGCTTCTTTTTTAGGAGAACTCCCAGTTTAGGAGAACAACCCATATTATTTTTAGTGGAGTACCCATATTATTTTTAGTGGAGTACTCTGAAGTGTACAAAAAAATGAATGGCCAAAGTCATCACCACTCAAGCTACAACTAAAAAAGCACAAATGTGCTGCCTTTTCCCCAGCAGATGCAGCCTTGGACTAGATTAGACATTTCCATTCCTCAAGCACATGAGAACCCCACACTGGGCCAGCAAGGAGCCATGGGGGATAATGGAAAAGTTAATTTGAGCCAGCTTGTACCAGAACAGGGCCTGCTCTGAGCAGTGCTTGCAATCAAACACCAACCTAAGCAAGGATAATCAGTTATTTTTAATACTGAATTGTTATTTTTTATTATCCTGTGTAATTCCTGCAGCATCTCAGGATGATTGGCTTAGCTGGGACAGTACAAACAGTGAACAGGATGATGGCACAAGAAAGGTGCCAGAGGTTTGAGAGCCACTATTTTCTTCCTGTGATGTTGGTAGTGGAGAAATGAAATCCACCCAGTCCTCATTCCACCACTCAAGGCAGTGAGGAAAGATTAGATGAGTGATGGCAGCTACTCCTTCCCTTTAGTTCTGAAGGAAATATAAGTGTCTACTTGTAAGTGCCCCACAAATCAGTTAGAACCTCAGCTGTGGGCTAGCTGAAGCTGTTGACAAAATTCCTATTTGTTTCAGAAAAGCTGCTGTTTTTCATTTCAGAATTTAATTATTTCTCTCCTAGCCTGTGTATTACAGTGAACTCCCTTGGAAGTAATGAAATCATAGGAGTGGAAAACACATGAAAATGAAATCCAAGCCTGCCAAATCTTTTTGCATGTCTAAGAAGATTATATTAAAGAATATAATGTCACAGTTCTCATTTCAGCAGTATTGGTCAGTACAACTGTTAAGGCTGCTAAACAGCTAATTTAAATCTTGAGACTAAAATGACAGGTTTTAATTGATGGCTGCCTCTCACTCCTGTTTGTCTCCTCCAAGTTAAGTAGATTTTCACATGCTGGTGACGTTTAAAATGAGTGTACCTCCTCTGTTTTTTTTTGTGCAGATGAATAATGTGACCCCAGAATATTGCCTGGACATCATACAGAAGTTTGAAGTGTCAGAAGAAAACAAGAAGCAGAATGTTCTTGGGATTGAAGGTAAAGGTTTTGGTTTCAGAGTGAGTTTCCTCTTGCATGCTGCAGTGGTGTGGAAGTGCTTTGATGGAGTTTGGTGAGGCTTTTGCTGTCCCCTGATCAGCAGTCGGGAGTGTGGGTGCCTTTTGTGAGTCAGGGGGGAGATGTGAGTAGGTGTGGTGAGGCAGCAGCTCTCAGCCATCCATCACAGCCTTCCTCAGGAGTGGGGCAGGATGCCTGAGGCTGTGGGGATTTATTGCTCACTCTGACAAACTGTCCTGCACCATGCAGTTTATCTACAGCCTGCTCCCAGTGAGGTAATGAAAGCCAGGAGTTCACTCTGCCTTGGCTCTGGGGATCTGGGATCCTGCACAATCCATTCTTTTCTGTGAAATAAAGTACAGATAGTTGCATTTTCATTGGGTTTTAATACCTGATTCCCATTGCTTGTGAAAGCACTTGTAAACTGTATGTTTATTCAGAATCCAATTTAGTATCAGATCAGCCTCAGAGCTGAGATGAAATAGATTAAAAGCCATGTTGTGTTCCTTTGCCCAGAAGGAACCTTCTCTGCAGCAGCACAATGTGCATGGTGACTCGGGGAGGGGGGAAGTAGGAATTTTCCTCCGCATGGTATTTAAATCCTGGGCATGGCCTCCCTTCAACAAGCTTCTGATGTGACCCAGGGCGCTGCACTCAAACTGAAATAAAGAAAGTAAAACAAATAAGCTGTGACACTTAAACAATATTTCTGCAAGCATTTCTGCTCCTCTTAACCTGCTGCTGCAGCTGCTTTTATCTCTGAGCTGCTTTCAGGGCTGGTATTGTTTGCACCATCCTTTGCAAATATTTTGAATGTTTCATTCTTAAAGAAGGTATTTTTAAAACTTTCTCTGTTCAGTGCTGCTCTCATTTAGAGGGTTATAAATGAAGTACCATCTTCTTGAATAAACTTGCAGGAAAAAGAAAATTGTGAAGATGCCGGGTCAGTGACTTGGCTGCTGATCCACGGTTGGGTGGCTGCTGCCTTGAGTGCCCCCATCCCTGCTCAGGGCACTGCCATTCACAGCACACGAGTGCCACCAAGGAGCTCTGTCACAAGCAGGCGTTTGCTTCTGAGCCAGGGTGGCCTGCCCTGTGCCATGGAGTGCACACCAGTGTCAGACCCAGCCTTGCAGGGCTGCAGAGCTGCAGATTGTTCTCTCTGCCTGTGCCCTGCCCTGTGCCCTGGAGTGCACACCAGTGTCAGACCCAGCCTTGCAGGGCTGCAGAGTGTTCTCCCTACTCTGTGAGCTGCTCTGTGCCCTGCCCTGTGCCCTGGAGTGCACACCAGTGTCAGAGCCCAGCTGTGCAGGGCTGCAGAGCGTTGTCCCTGCCTGTGCCCTGCTCTGTGCCCTGCTCTGTGCCCTGAGTCCACACCAGTGTCAGAGCCCAGCCGTGCAGGGCTGCAGAGCATTGTCCCTGCCCTGTGCCCTGCCCTGTGCCCTGAGTCCCCACCAGTGTCAGAGCCCAGCCTTGCAGGGCTGCAGAGTGTTCTCCCTGCCTGTGGCCAGTGTCAGAGCCCAGCCTGGCAGGGCTGCAGAGCGTTGTCCCTGCCCTGTGCCCTGCTCTGTGCCCTGCTCTGTGCCCTGAGTCCCCACCAGTGCCAGACCCAGCCTGGCAGGGCTGTGTTGTCCCTGCCCTGCCCGACGTGCCCCTGTGCCCGCAGGCTTCACCAGCTTCATGCGCAGCCCGGCGTGCGAGGTGTCCAACCCGCTGCACCGCGAGGTGCACCAGGACATGGAGCAGCCCCTGTGCCACTACTTCATCGCCTCGTCCCACAACACCTACCTGAGCGGGGACCAGCTGCTCTCCCAGTCGCGGGCCGAGATGTACGCGCGCGTGCTGCAGGCCGGCTGCCGCTGCGTCGAAGGTGGGCTGCAGGGGGCTGCAGGGGGCTGCATGGGGGCTGCAGGGGGCTGTATGGGGCTGCACGGGGATGCATGGGGGCTGCATGGTGCGGCACAGGGGCTGCATGGGGGTGCACTGGGCTGCACGGGGGCTGCACGGGAGCTGCACAGGGGTGCATGGGGCTGCAAGGTTGTGCATGGGGGCTGCACTGGGCTGCATGGAGCTGCACGGGGGCTGCACGGGGGGCTGTACCAGTCACAGGCTCAGGGCTGTGCTCCCAGCAGCAATGCTGGGCTGCCTCGGACACTGCAGCGCTTTCTGAGCACTCCAGACTGGATTTTTCTGTTGGGAATGATCACCTTGGGCCGGGGCTGCATGGGGCTGCACGGGGGCTGCACGGGGGGCTGCACCAGTCACAGGCTCAGGGCTGCACTCCCAGCAGCAATGCTGGGCTGCCTCGGACACTGCAGCGCTTTCTGAGCACTCCAGACTGGATTTTTCTGTTGGGAATGATCACCTTGGGCCAGCGCCACAGGCACCAGAGAATCACAGAATGGCTGGAAGGGGTTCTAAAGATCCTGCCATGGGGGAACGTGGAGATCACACTGGATTCTTGTTTAAGCTCTGCATGATTTAAATAATAACGAAACATTAGTGTTTTTATATTAGTATTAGTATTTTTCTTTTCCCAGGAATAAATAAAGTCTTTTGGCAAAGTTTGACTCAATATTAATTTTTTATGACTAGCATTACAAAAGGTCATCTGGGAAAAAAAAATATTGTTAATCTCTGTTTAAAAATTAATTAGAGAAAATGAACCTGAGAAAATTTGGTGATGGCGTTCTGCAGAACAGCCCCCAAGAAAACTCAGCAGTGTTATTTTCCTTGACCTCAAAGCTATTGCAGCTCCTTCAGAGCCCAGGGAATAGCTCTGCAGCTTTCTGCTTGGGAAGTTTAAGTGCCTGTAGAGGCAGCAGCAGTGACAAGTTTGGTACAAATTTAGGGTACAGCCATTCATTAGGAAAAGCATTATGCTGGTCTGTTCTGCATGTGCTGGATTTGATGTTACTCTTCAGACACTCAGTTATAAAACTGCAAGTTAAATTGGGAGTGGAAAAAAATAAGTTCTTTTAAAATAGTTTTTCTTCAGAAGCAAAAACTGCATTCCCAAGGTAGCTGTAAACATTATTTGGCCTATTACACCTTTGTAGTTTTATATATGAGGAAAAAACCTCAAATTAATACAAGAGAAAGAACAGTTGTAGGATGCAGAATTCCCATGTGACCTAGGGAAAGACTGTCCTGTTAGTGTGAGCTCAGCTGGCAGGTCGGGGCAGATGGAGTGGGGGCTGCAGGAGGTGGAATGAACCTTGTTGGCCCCTGCCTGGCTGAGCAGGTGAGCTCTGCTGGCAGCAGGGGCTCAGGGATGCATGAACTGGGGGCACCTCTTAATGTGTGGCTTTTCTGGTCTTAACAGTGGATTGCTGGGATGGCCCAGATGGGGAGCCCGTGGTGCACCACGGCTACACCCTGACTTCCAAAATCCCCTTCCGGGACGTGGCAGAAACCATCAATAAGTATGCCTTCATCAAAAACGAGTAAGTGTGGAGCCAGGTGTGAAGCTACACCTGTTCTCTGTAGTTAATCCCACACTGCAAACAACCATCGAGCCTAGGAAGTGCAAATATTCCTTTAAACACATCAGGGTAGGTTCTGTTCCCCTGTTTATTGCCCGTGTTGTGTTTATTGTTCAGCTGCACAAGCTCTTCCCATCAACTGAGGGAGAGAGTTCTGCCTAAGTTGAACCTTTTTGTGCTCTTGAACTCAGTAAGGCTTTGGACAGTCTGACACTGCTGATTATCTTTCAATAGAGCTTCCCACTCACATCCACAGGGAAATTCTCCTGAACAATCGATACTGTGATCTTCTCTACCTACTGAAAATACTTTATTTCAGCAGAAGAATTGAAAAGCTGTCATGTGTAGTTTGAGGAAATACTGAGGTGTGGGGCAGTGTTCTGAATCTGTTTCATTTGCCATGGTGCTTTATAACAGTTTATTGTGGAAACTGTGGACTTCACCCATACACACACACACACACACAGACACACACACACACACACACACAGAGTAGTCTCAGATCATGAGTGGATGTCGAGAATTTTGAGTAGTTTAAAGAGAATAAAAGGAAAATACTTCCTTTTCTTTATTTAAATAAAAGGAGCCCAACAATGGATTTGTGGGAGAAAAACCCAACCAAGCCCAAAAGTTCAGTGTTATTTATTGATGAGAAGTACAAGGTGTTACTTTCAAAACTAAAGGAGGTGATCTTCATTATTTGGTTGGGGTTAATGTGGGGTTCCTTGTTTTAGAACCTTGGGGCTGCCAAGAGTTTAGAAAACAGTGGGACAAATCTGTGGAAGAACTGAGCTGTTCATTCCCAGCTGGGTGGCAAGAGTGCAGGTGTCTCTGCACACACAGCGCTGAGACTGTCTGGGCCTTTGTTTCCAGGTTTCCAGTGATCCTGTCCATTGAAAACCACTGCAGTATTCAACAGCAAAAGAAGATTGCCCAGTACCTGAAGGAGATATTTGGTGACAAACTGGACTTGTCATCTGTGAGCACTGGAGATCCCAGACAGCTTCCCAGCCCTCAGGATTTAAAAGGGAAAATCCTAGTGAAGGTAACTTGCTGCTGGGCATGTTCAGAATGCAACAGAAGTCAGCTTGTGATATTTATTGTGGGTTTTCTTTGGAGGACCAGTTCATGTCCCTTCAGCATCCAAACATTATCTGACAGTCCCTCCTTGGACAGAGTGCTTTGGAGTGGTAGAAAAGTGAAGCTGTCCTGCCTTTCCCCTCACCCAGCTCAGAGCTGTAGTTCATGGGATGCAACTCTGTTCATGGTTCATCTGCTGTGCTTATGGGAGAAGAGCAGCTCAGGAGGAGCTGGAGGAGGCCCCAGAGCTCTGTGCAGGATTTATTGTGTCAGCCTCTCACTCCAGACAGATTTGCTCTGAAAGGAATTCAGAGCAAATCTGTTTGGAGATTTGGATGGGCCAGGATGGGATCTGAATTCCTTTTGGAATTCCATCTGTTTGGAGATTTGGATGGGCCAGGATGGGTAGAACAGGGAAGAAGCACAAGGCAGACCTTTGGGAGGATGATTAATAGTCCTGCCCTATTAGACTGTCTAATTTACTTGGACACAGGGGGGCAATTACTTCTGTGTGAGCTCTCAGGATACTCTGGCTTTCCCCCCGTCCTTAGTATCAGTCTGGCTGCAGGGATTCAGTTTGTCTGATGTTGGTTTGAACATGCTGCAGTGCACACTACAGAGCTGACCCTAAATTAGGAGCCCTTTGAGTGCTCAGCCTTGATTTTGCATTTCACTGCATCAGTTTTCTGGGGTGGCTGCTGGTTAATGAGCTGTGCAAACACGTGGGGCTGGTGTTTGAGGGATCCACAGGAAATCATGTGGAACATCCCTCCTGTGAGAAATCCCACGGCACTGCACTAAAGGCAGGAGAGGCTGAGTGCTCTGGCTCTTACCTGAACTTCTGAGCTGCCTTTTCAGCACGTCTGGGGCTGTCATTTCAGTGTGATCCTCCAGCTCTCACTGCTGGAGCCCTGTGGGTGCAGACTGCTGTGGAGCTGAGCTGCTTTCAGAATGAGAAATTCTATCTCGAGCATCACAGGATCCCTGCACAAAGCCCTGTCTCCCATCCCCTGCTCAATTTAAGCAGCTCTGTTGGAAAAGATAAAATCAGATTTAGGAATCAGTACCTTGTTGAGAAGTAAGCCAGCTTCTCATCTTTTTGCTATTGTTTTTGCTCTTTTTATACATTTTCCTTTGAAAGGCAGTATTGATTCACTAGCCAAACAATTTCAAACAATGGCATAATTTTCATCCTGTAAGTGTATATAAAGAGTCATTCTAGTAACACTCAGGGATTTAAGCCAGTGTAAAGGTACCAGCATGAAGTAGATTTGACCTATTCATTAGCAGCAGCATTATTCTTTTCAAAATGCAGCCTAAAATCAATCCTCTGCATTTCTGCAGAAATCTTGAGTGTCATTCCTATCTCCCACTGATGAAGAAGGTAGGCTGAGAACATTTCTGTGCACAGGAGCAGTATCACAGAAATTTAGTAGGTGATTTATTTAGGAGCAGATGGTGAAGCAAAAGGAGCAGGCTGGGTGCACTAACTAACACTGACCACATTTATTGGGGGTGTTTTTTCCTCATTTTAGGGGAAGAAGTTGCCCTGCAGCCTTGGAGCAGATGCCGAGGAAGGAGAGGTTTCAGAAGAGGACAGTGCTGATGAAATTGAGGACGACTGCAAGTTAAAGCCCTGCTTTGTATGTGCACACAGTCAGTTCCCAGAGTGTGACAGCTCTGCATTTCTTACATGCACACTCCATGTCCTACTTACAGTTGTTAGCAGAGTTTTGCATTCCTAAGTTTTTAATTGCTGTGTCAGGTTCATGCTGCTCCATAGGATTCATTTTTACTTTAAGTGCCTTATGTAAGAGGCTGGTTTGAGTCTGCATAGTCTGGATGACTGTTGACAGAAATAATTTCCTTTTTTCACTCTTTGGAGCAGGACTCTAATGCTTAGGGTGTCTGTAAGTGCATTAGCTGGGAATTCATGCTCTTCTGAAAGAGAAGGGGGGCTTGTGATAGCTGTGAGGCAGAGAGAGCCATGGCCAGGTCCTGGGGATCTGCAGGGGCACTGTGAGCTGAGCTGGGAGGACCCAGGGGAAAAGGAGAAGGAAATGGCAGTGAAAGCCACAGGCAGAAAGGGCAGAATCAGGCAGGATTGTGCAAGGAGTGTTTTCTTGCAGAGGGAAGGAAATGGGAGCACTGTGTGACTCAGTGTGCAATGGATGGAACCAAACTCCTACTTGAACTGGGTTTCCTGATGTCTTTCAGAGCAATGGTGCAACCCAGCACCAGGTGGAATCTTTTATAAGAACGAAACTGGAGTCTCTGCTAAAAGAGTCCCAAATCAGGGACAAAGAGGATCCTGACAGCTTCACTGTGAGAGCCCTGCTGAAGGCAACTCACCAGAGTTTCAGTGTGAACCTGAAGCAGGTACGTGGGCTCTCCCTTCACAGCCCTGTGAGGACTGCACAGTGCTGTGTGATGCAGACTGTTTGAGATGAGAGAGGAGCTGGATGCAAACTCCAGGGACATTAATTACAGCATGAATTTTCTGTGGAGATGTGCCTGCTCTGGAACCAGTGTCACAGAGCTCTCTTCTGGGAGTTACTGTGTAATTGATGGACCAGAAAGGGAGCAGTTGGGATGTTTTCCTGGTTTTTTTACTGGTAATTTATTTTTCCTTCATTACTGGTCTGCCTTAGATTTTTCCCAAATAACTGCTATTAAAAGAAGTAAAAATCTGCTAAAGATTCTTTCTACATGTTAGAGACTTGCAGCCTGAGCTCTGAGCAGATCTCTGAGCACAGGTTATTGATTTTGCTGGGCCCCCCATGCCCTCATCGTCATGAAAGCCCACAGTGACTCCAGCTCAGCCCTGAACAGGGAATAGCTGGAGTTCACAGCACTGAAACACTCGCCCAGCTGAAATGCTGGGGGAATATTCTTCAGTTTTGTTTTGCTCTTCAGAAGATGAAGGGCTGTGTGTTCCTGACAGAAGAAGTGAGATGCTGCCAGGAGTTATCCAGCTGATGTCTGGGGGCATGGCTGGGAATGTGGAACTCAGCCTGCAGGCTGCCTCTGAGAAGTCCACATTCATCTGCTAGGAGATTCTTTTTCCTCTCCCTTTTCCCTTTGTGGCTGCTTTCAGGAACACTCAGATGTCTTGGTTTGTTGTTATTTGCCTGGTTTTGCTAGACTGCTTTTTCTACATGGTTTGTTGTTGTCTTGAGTGCTAATGTTGGTATTTTTCTTTAAAGTTAGATGATTCTAAACTATGAAGTGTACAAAGAAACTAGAAAATTCCTGTAATGAGATTTTGGATTTCAATTTGTTCACAGATCAGACTTTAACTTACTTTGTCTCATTTGCAATAATTTTACTTTCCTAATAGTAAGCCAGGGTGACATACAAGAACTTGTCTGAGGTTGAAATGCTGCCTTTTGGAGACTATAACAGACTCTTTAAAGAGTATTTAGTTATGCTTTTTATTGCACTTTTTCTGCACAGAACTTGGACACAAAAGAAGGTGGAAAAAAGTCTCATGGTCGATCATTAATGGGGAACTTCGGTAAACACAAGGTGAGTGAAATAAATGAGAGCTGAGGTTGCTGTTGTAGGACTGGCAGCATTCCAGAGACCCTGGCAATGTTTCACTGCTTCAGACAAGTGTGGTGGGCATGGGGGCAGTGAGGAGGGAGCCTGTGTGATCACACTTGGTGTCTTAATTCTGTTCAGAAGATTGAGAACCTTTAAGATGAAAAAGAACTTCTCACGTGACTAAAAGATCACCTTTACTCTTGCTGTGGAATTGCTGATGTTCTGATCAAACAGAAGAGCAGCAGAGACAAATATCTCAGCATATCTTGTTTTCCAGAGAGCTGGCAGTGCCTGGTTCAGTCAGGGCCTGGCTTTGCTGTGTCCCACCCTGGGCAGGGCCGTGCTGGGACTGTCCCTTCTCCCAGGGGCTGCTGTGGCTGAGTGCTGGCTCTGGGCTCCTGCTCTGTGCAGATGTGTTCTGCCTGATCTCCTCCTGTTTTCATGTCCTGGTTATGTGTGTGCAGCTGCTGGGCCAGACTGCCTGCTCTGCTGCTCCTCAGTGGTGTTTCCACTGGCCCAGGCAGGAGCTGAGGGCTCTCATTTCACAGCTGGGCACAGAGCAGCCCCCACAAGGGACAGTGCCCACGTTTCCCTCCCGTTCCCATGTCCTGACAAATGTGCTCCTGTCATCTGCCTTCCCTGCTCTCACAGCGCCCTGAGCCTTGGCTTTACAGCCTGAGCCTGAGCTGCTGCAGCTGCTGCTCCCTTCCTGCAGCAGTCAGTGAGAGCTGCATGGGTGGCTGAGCAGGGAGGCAGCTCTGCAGCCTAGTCAGCCCCTGTGCCACCAGCAGCCCTCTGCCCCAGCCCGCCAGACTGCTGCTCCTGGACTGTGCTCTCCATGGTGAGGAGCTTTGGGACTGGGAATCTGAGCAGTTTTTCATGATTAAGAGACATTTCAAAGAACTTGATCAGTCACCGGTCCACCTGCCCTGAAGCCAGCTAGGAACCATCAAACATTCCCTAGGCAGACAGTACCAGGACTCCTATTCACACTTCAATTCCGTGCTCCCATCCGTTCAAGTGCTCGTGTTTCCCTCAGCACCCCTGGCTCAGTGCACGTTCCCCCCTCAGGGTGGGCTAAGAGCCCTGGGTACCCGTGAGCGTGGGCACTGCCCCTGGCACCCTGTGCTTGCTGCTGGCCACACACGTGCTGGGAATGACATGTCACAGGCAAACGTCAGCCACTGGACTCTGCTGCTTCTGCTGAGGGCTGGAAACTCTGTCAATAATTTAATTACTGCAGCCAGTTATCCTCATGGATGTAGCAGGTTGGAATGCCCATTCATTTCATCTCTGGTGAAAAAAACCCGGGTATATATAGATTAAAAAAAAAAAAAAAGATTGTATTGTAGACTGAGGCAACAGAGACATCCTTAACTGCTCCCTGCTGCCTTTCCAGCTGAAGGGATGCCTGGGAAGACTGGTTACTATTGATCTTTTTGCAGATACAGAATTATCCACCCAACAATATTGACACACGACATTTTCAGCCAGCTCTTGTGTCAAAAGAATAAACTCTTTAAAAACTACTGGGGAGGTACAGAGACACTAAAGCTGGCAATTCCTGAAAATTAACTGCATGGAACATGCTCAGTAGAGACCTTCAGCCTCCAAAGAGACCCATGCAAATGATTTCCAATATAGTCAACTTCATGTCAGCACCAAACACAGCAAAGTGAATTATGTCCAATAGGGTGTATGACAAGAGGAGGAAAGGAATCTGTGCTCAGTGAGCCACATCCAAAAGGATAAGGAGCTCTCAGTTATATTAATTACCTCTTGATGGAAGGGGATTAAATAACTCTCATTTGAAGCTGTGCTTAGCATTACAAAAGATGTAATGTTGAAATTGGAAACTGTTAAATCATAGGTGCTTATGAAAAAAGGGGATTTTGAGGTTAATCTTTTTTATCATAGCTATTTTCTTTATAGTGTAATAATTTAGAATCACTTGAATATTTGTATGTGGCTCAAAATAGAGCAGGAAGATGATGTTTGAACATTTTGCCCAGACTCTGTTTACACCTTCACTAATGAATAATGTTTAATTTTCTAAACTGGGGGAGACACAGGTGGGCAGAAGGAGTGCTCTGTATATTTAGACCCTGCTGTGTGTTGCTCTTTGTTAAACGGGACACAATCCACTGGGACTTCAGCAGGAGCAGTGCCCTGGAGCCAGGGGAGCAGTGTTGTCCTCTGGTGTTGGGAGGGAGCAGGGCAGGTGCAGAGCACAGAGTGGCCTGTGCTGGACAGACCCTTGGCACAAGTAACACCCTGAGGCCTGGCTGGGCTGGCAGCACACACAAATATCCCCTGAGGCCTGGCAGACACAGAAATAATGCTGTGAGACCCAGCAGCACACAGAGCTGGAATCCCTGCCGTGGGGTGCACTGTGCTCTGTGCTGCCTTTCCTTCTGCCCAGCAGGGAAACTCTGCCCAGCCCAGGGGTCAGCTCTGTCCCTGGAGCTGCAGAGGCCAGCTCAGCCTCCTGCCCAGCCCCAGGCACAGCAAGGGAGCCCAGTGACTGACCTGCCTGGCTCTTTCCCCACAGAGAGCCGCGAAGGCAGCAGCCAAGGCTCCCAGTGCCTCGGACGACGAGGACGGCCAGCAGCACCCTCCGGGCAAGGAGCCAGGGCAGCCCCACAGGTGAGCTGGAGCCCCGCAGGTGAGGCAGGGCTGTTCCGTGCCGTCAGGGTGTGGGGCTGTGCCCAGAGCAGTGCTGTGGGGCTGTGTGTCACGTGTGACGCGTCTGTCACACATGACAGCTGTCAGGTGGGTTTGCTGTGAGCCCGGTGTTTTGGCTGTGTCACCTGTCACAGGCTGCAAGCAGCAATTAACTGCAGAGAAGTGTGACAGCACTGCTGCTCATGGAAAGATGCCAGGCCCTATTTCACCTGCTGCAAACAGAGCAAACTGTGCAGGTTAAAGAAGGTGCATCACAGCCCAGGCAACTTTATTGCATCTGAGAATGGGGAAAATGCAATCAAAAAAGTGCCACTGAGAATGTGTCTGCTCTCACTGAAATGCTCCTTGGTTTTGTCTAGAACAGCCATGGTGCAGCTATTTCATTATGTTTTAACTGAAAAATTTTGTTTGTGTGGATGGGCTGTGGAGGCAGAGGCGAGCAGTCATCCCTGAACCCTCTCCAAGGAAGTTTGTTTGCCACACAGGGTCCCCTGCTCACAAGTCTTCATTTCCTTGTTGTTGAAAAGAACAGAAAGGGGCATTGAAATACACCTTCAATCCTGCAAGTGCCTGGTTTTGTTTGCTTTCACCCAGCAGGCTTGCCCGCCGCAGGAAGACAGTGAAGCTGTGCCGGGCCCTGTCTGACCTGGTGGTGTACACCAACTCCGTGGCAGCTCAGGACATCGTGGATGATGGTACGGGGCTGGCACAGGGCTGGCACGTCCCCTGTCACCTGGAGAGGAGGGGGCTGGGTGCTGCTGTCAAGGTGGCACAGGGCTGGCATGTCCCCTGTCACCTGGAGAGGAGGGGGCTGGGTGCTGCTCTCAGAGTGGCACGGGGCTGGCACGTCCCCTGTCACCTGTGAGAGGAGGGGGCTGAGTGCTGCTGTCAGGGTGGCACAGGGCTGGCACGTCCCCTGTCACCTGTGAGAGGACGGGGCTGAATGCTGCTGCCAGGGTGTCACGAGGGCAAAGCCAGAGCCCAGCAGGGCACTCCCTCCCTGGCAGTGACTCCTCTGCCCCTGCTGCCAGCAGAGGATTTTGCTGCAGGTTCCCAGAGCTGCCACGTCTGGGGGTCTCCAGGAGGAAAGGCCCCAGCAGGAGCTCTTGGGCTTGGGCTCTTTAGCTGGAGCTCTCCCTTGGCTTTCCTTTCAAGTCTGCAGACTTGGGGGGAGAACAACAGACCCTCCTGGAAGGGGGAGCTGGTGCCCTGCAGTTACCCAGGGTGCATGATTTGTGTAAGACTAGACAATCTATCCTGGAACACTGGACCAAATCTCACATTGCCCTTGATCAATACCCAGGGAATGAGGGCTGGGCTCAGGCCCCGTGCCCTGGGATGGTTTGTCACCTGTCTCTTGGTTGTTCTGTGGCACACAGGCTCCACAGGGAACGTGCTGTCGTTCAGTGAGACCAGAGCCCACCAGGCAGTGCAGCAGAAGGCTGAGCAGTTCATGCTTTACAACCAGAGGCAGCTGACCCGGGTCTATCCCTCAGCCTACCGCATCGACTCCAGCAACTTCAACCCTGTTCCTTACTGGAACGTGGGCTGCCAGTTAGGTAGGAGCTGCACGAAAGCCCTCCTTCCCTTTTGGTGGGTACGTGCCTAATAATAATATCTTTATTAATGACACCCCACTTCTCCTTCAGTGGCCCTGAACTACCAGTCTGAGGGACGTGTGATGCAGTTAAATGAAGCAAAATTCAGGGTAAATGGCAACTGTGGCTATGTCCTCAAACCTCAGCAGATGTGCAAAGGTAAGGTTCCAGTCTAGTTATCACTGTAGCTGCCAGGCCTTTCACAAAGTGTCCTTCACAGTAAAGGCACAAGAAATCTAGAATCCTCCATGTTTCCATGCACGCATAGCTCTTAGACTTGTACCAGTGTGCAATCTCTTACTGTGATCATACATATATATGTGTATTTTGAGTCTTTCCCTATTAACATGAGTTTAAAAGAAGAAAGAGGGGTCCTAGGATGACCAGCTGCAGGAAGGTAGAGCAAGCTCTGCAGTGCCCCAGAAGCAAGTATCCAGGGCTTGGTCTAACTCTGACTTGGAATCACAAAACCAAGGGGTTCTCCACTTAGAAAAGGTTGTAAGAAAGAGGAGAAATTTAAAATGACTAAGCAGCTGCTCCATACTCATATTTTCTCATTTCTGACTGAATTAGTCTGTCTGTGTGTGTCTTGGGGGGTGATATTTATTATGTGTATCTTCTTCCTTACAATCTCATTCCTGCCATCCTTCAGGCACATTCAACCCCTACTCTGCTGATCCCCTTCCTGCCAGTCCTAAGAAGCAGCTGATTCTGAAGATCATCAGCGGGCAGCAGCTCCCCAAGCCTCCTGACTCAATGCTGGGGGACAGAGGAGAGGTGAGATGCTCTGGTGCCAGCAGACACTTCCAGGGGAGCTCCTGCAGTGACACAGCAGTGTGTGACTCAAACCTTCTCCTTATTCAAATGCAACAGGAAATTTCAGATACTGTCAAGCATTTGGTCACTACATACTATACTTCCCCCAGCCTGTATCCTACTCATGATGTTTAATAACTGATTTGGTTTGTATTTTAAAGGGTGACTTTTATGAAAATGAGTCACTGCTGTCCATAGCTCTTGGTGCAAACCATACATCAATATGGACTTCATGGAACCAATTCCCATGATAATGCTGCTTGAAAATGCATGTCAATCAAAGGGGTTTGAATTCTCATATGAATTTAAATCAACTCCATTAATTTTTAAAAAGTTCACCTTCATTTATATGACTGGCTTGCTTTTAAAATCTTGTGTTTTTGAAAAACAGATTATAGATCCCTTTGTTGAGGTGGAGATTATTGGGTTACCTGTTGACTGCTGTAAAGATCAGACCAGGGTGGTGGACGACAATGGTAAGATAATCTAAGTGATTTCTTTCTTCTTAGAGTAAAATATTAAATAAGTGTAAATGAATTCGTGTCTGTTATTGCTTTCTAAATTGCAAAGCATCTTATCTGATGAAATAAAATTATTGTATTTTAACAAATTATTTCTTCTTCCCAGAGAGAATTTCTGGTGTGGAGTTGTTCCCCACATTGTCTTTTAACCAAATTGTTCTTACATCTCCTTTATGCAGAAGTTCAAATCTATCTGTATCTGTATCTGTATCTCAGTGCTTGCCTGGGTATCCCTGGCAGCTCCCAGGCAGACCCATTTTGTTTTTAAAGCGATCCTAGAGGCAGATCTTTCACATTTAATGACTGACGTGATGGAATTGTCACTGCTGCTGCTGCCTGTGTCCTGCTCCTCCTGGAACTGAGGCAAGCACTGGCTCTGGACTTGTTTCCCAAAGCGTGTCCTGTTTGTCCTGCAGGGTTCAACCCTGTGTGGGAGGAGACCCTCACCTTCACCATCCACATGCCCGAAATTGCCCTGGTGCGCTTCCTGGTCTGGGACCACGATCCCATCGGGAGAGACTTTGTGGGGCAGAGAACTGTGGCCTTCAGCAGCCTGGTGCCTGGTGAGTCCCCCTGTTCTCCTGGGCGTGCAAATCCACCCTCAAACCCACGAAGGACGTTGGCAGCACGAGATGATAGATTTTGTAAACCTTTATCTCTGTGACTTCATGTGAAGCTTGGACAAATCTTCTGTTCTCATAGGGTGCTTTATGCACCATTCCTCAAAGGAGATTGGATGTCTGTGCTTTTAGACATTACTTCTGGTGAGTTTTTTATAACTTGGATGCAATTTGTTCTGGGGCTCGAAAAACCTGTGAGGACACCAGAGAAGTTTTCTAAAGGCATCAGATGGCTTCCTGTGTATATATCACTTTTATAGACAGTCATTGCTAGCTGGGCATAAAATGCAAACTGCTGGTTCTTGGTGGGTTTGTGTGGAAATATTTCTACTTCTGTTTCCCCAGGCTATCGCCACGTGTATTTAGAAGGACTGACAGAAGCTTCCATATTTGTTCATATAATTATTAATGAGACCTATGGAAAGGTAGGTACAGCTGGAAATTTACATCTTCCTTCTGATAAAAATGGATTTAAATGTAGCTCTTGTCCAGATCCTCTCCCAGCTCCACTTCCTTTCTCCTCCCTAATCCCATCGGATCACGGGATGGGATCACATGTATTGGTATGTGCACATCTGGGCATATCTGTGAGGTCACATCCCTTGGGGACGGTTTGCAGGGCCTGTTTGGCTGCTGCCCTTGTAAGAACAAATGTGCTCAATAAAACCAGCAGTGTAACTCCAGAAGGGAGGCAAGGGCAGCAGGAGGGGACACCCGCTGGGACTCCATCTCTGTCCCTGGGTCTGCTCCCCTGGTGCTGCTCTGAATGAATGATGGGCTGCACTGCTGTTTCTCATAGGCTCAGTGAGATCTGCTCAGTTCCTGGGGGACACACATTAGACTAAGAAATAGCTTTAAATGGTTTGCTGTAGAGTGGTTCTGTTTACAGCTGATGTACTGTTACCTTATTTGCTTGTGTGGCAGTCTTGAAAACATTAGCCAAATGGATTTGCATTTCTTTTTGCCTTTCAGTGGAGCCCTTTAATCCTCAATCCCAGTTACACAATAATGCACTTTCTAGGAGCCACAAAGGTAGAGCTCATGAGCATGCACTTTGCACTTGCTGGGCACAGACTTTCCAGTGGTTCCCAATCGCATGATCTGCAACTGCCAGACTGGAACCATTCTCCATGCAGGCTCTGAAACATCTGAATATTGCTTTGATGAAACCCATGCATAGAAAACTCCACGTTAATGTGCAGCCTGTCACTGCCGAGCACTCCCAGAGCCTTGTCAGGTCCCATTAGGAGACTGAGCAAAGCTCTCTGGCAACTGTGGCAGGCTGCCATCCTAATGAGGAGAAAGGCAGGCATGCATGAATCCATGGAGACCCGTGCTGGGAGCTCCTTGCTCAGAGTAGCTGCGAGTGGCTTGGTGTGAATTTTGGCTTTGCTGCGTTTTGAACTTTGTCCTCATCACTCATAAGCACTGTGAGAGCAGCTCCTTGCCTTGCGAGCGAGCGTGAGCTGAGGCCAGGCTGTGCTGTTGTGTCCCTGCAGAGCAAGCAGCTGATGGGGCTGCGAGGGCTGTTCTCCAAGGCGCCCAAGGCGGGCGCGGCCGAGGCCAGCGCGCACCACGCGCGCAAGCGCTCCATCGGCGAGCGCATCCTGCGGCGCACGGCCAGCGCCCCGGCCAAGGGCAGGAAGAAGAGCAAGATGGGCTTCCTGGAGGCTGCTGAGATGAAGGACAGCGCCTCGGAGCCAGCAGACCTGAAGGACAAGGAGGGGGTGGTGCGGCGGCCGAACCGCAGCTCGCAGGCGCGCCCCGCGTCCATGCCCGTGGACAGATTCCTCATGGTAGAGCTGCCCTGCCCAGCAGAGGACACTGCCCAGCAGGCCACGGGAGAGGAAAACACTTCTGGTAAGGTGCTTCCAAAATTACTTTTGGTGAAAGGTCAGGGCTCCCCTCGCTTCTTCCACGAGTACCTGATTTCTAGCAATCATTAAAACCAGTATTTATTACACCAAGTTTGCTTCTATAGTCCCTGCTTCATTAAATCTCCAAAGGAGTGAGTCACAGAGCTCAAATCTGGCATAGAAAGACAAGAGGATTTGTGGAGAAAACATCCACTATGTGTTTTTCGAGGAATTCAAACCCTTGTCCTTGTGAATGCTGCCTGCTGGTAGAAGATCCAAATGAAATCCCTGTACTGTAACACTTTGCAGTAACCACATGTATAAAGCAGTCTGGAGTCCATCTACTCGATGCTTTTGACTCAGCTTGAAGCATGCATCTTGTTTTCAAGTGTTGTGTGTTTTAACAGAGCTGTTTTGTTCTGTCTTTATTGCCACGCTTCTTTATAGTACAAATGTGACTAGGAACACAGCTGAAGGTAATGCCACGTGCAAGCTATGATGTGGTACCTCATTAACATTACTTACAACAAGTATTACATCACCTGCTTGATGTAATAGACATTCCAAGGAAATTTCAATGAAGTGCCTGCAGTTGTGTCTTTCCATTTATCCATGTCACTCAGATAATTTGTACTAAGCCTGCACAACCCCATGATTAAGTTCTGTCACAACTGTACCTAGTTTTGCGTTCTCCATTTGTCTGTCTAAGGACGAAACTGCTGTTGATAAACAGAGCCACTAATATGTTTCTTGTATGCCACTAATATGTTTCTCATTTAATTTAGCCAACAGTGATGACAATACAAATGAGAAGGAAACAAGCTTGAAAGAACTGGGTTTTCCACATTCAGAGCAAAAGTCAAATGCTTCAAATTTAGCATCTCAGTTCAAGAAGGAGAATGACCAGAGGGATTCTACAGCTGACTGTTTAGTGCCACCTCCACAGGAGCAACCTGAACGTTTGGTTTTTGCAAATGGTGTAGCTCAAGCAAATCACCTTGGGGATTACCAGGAGAATAATCTTTCTGATGGAACTGTCCCCCTAATGCAAGACTCTGACTCTGAACTTCTCACAGAAAAATTACACCACAAAAACTGTGCAGACGGTAAAAAGGAAGATGACACAAAAGGATCTAAGGAAGGGAAGATCAGTCTCATGGGGACTTGTGTTTCTCAGAATGCAGAGGTGGAGGATCACAAACATGACACGAAGAAAAGCACTGCAGCACCTCTTTCCCTTTCTTCTCCCGTGTGCTCTGAGGGCCCTGACTGTCACTCCACGGTGGCCCTGCAGGACAGTGACATTTCTCACCTCATTGATGAAGTCTCTCTCTCGACTGAGGGCGAGCTGGACAGCGCTGTGTCCGCTCTCATCGGGCAGCTGGATGGCACAGATGACCCAACTCCCCTTCCCCCTGTCTCCAGCCCCCACGGCAGCAGCAGCCAGACCCCCAGGGTGGGGGCTGCAGGCCCACACGTGTTTGCTGCAGACCTGAGCAGCCCCTGTAGGCACAACTTCACTCCCACAAAATCCAACAAATCCTCTTTATTCTCCGCTCCGGACACAGCCATGTTCCCCAGCCTGGAGGATGCAGAGTATTCCACATACACAATTATCCACGAGGCATCTCCAGCTTCTGAATGTACGAGCCACAGGGCATTCGTTTGCAAGAAAAGATTAAATAGTCTAGAAAGTAACTTGACTGGCTCTTGTTCTTCATCCCTCTCTTTGCTAAATGCAAATCCCAAAAGGAATTGTGCTACAAAATCTGGACCAAGCTGGGAAGCCCCCGAGCCTGCCAGTTCTTTCGGTTCCAACAGCCTCATCTTTGAGGAGGCGCTGGGGCCCCCTGTCCCGGGGGAGCACTCGGCCAGCAGCAGCCTGCTGGAGGTGGATGGGGACTGCCAGGACCTGCTGGTAACGGCCTGTGAGTACCGCCGGGAGGACATGAGCCAGCTGGCTTCTCCTGTGAGCCTCAGGCAGAAGCAGGACCACGGGCACAGGGGTGACAGCACCTCGGGGAGCAGCTCCAGCGCTGCTTGGCACTGCTCCGAGACCCCGGGGGCTGCGGGGAGCCGGCTGGCTTTCCCCGCGTGCGAGAACGCCGGGGTGTGGTGGCAGCAGCCCTCGCAGGGGCACAGCGCTGCGGTGCGTGCCCCCCAGGCCGGCGCAGCCTGCGCCCCGCGCCCGCCGCCTCTGCCGTTCCCCCCACACCCGGCCATCCAGCAGGGCAGCCCCTGCAAGTCCAAGAGTCTGGGAGACCTGACCTCGGAGGACATTTCCTGCAACTTTGAGAGCAAGTACCAGTACATCAGCAGGAGCTTCATCTCCTCGGGCCTGAGGGACAGGAAGGCGGCCATGCAGGGCGTGAGGCCGCACTCGACGGACGCGCTGACGGAGCAGCTGCGGAGGCTGCTGTCCCTGGAGCAGGAGGACAGCCGGGAGCCGCTGTGCCCCAGGCAGCCGGACGAGGACTGCCCGCGGGCCCTGGTGAGGAAGCTGTCGTCCCGCAGCCAGAGCCGGGTGCGGAACATCGCCAGCCGCGCCCGGGAGCGGCAGGAGGCGGCGGGCAAGCCGCGGCCGTGCGGCGGCAGCGCCGTGCCCGGCGTGGTGCTGCGGAGCAAGGCGGCGGGGCCGCCGCACGCCGCCAACCGGCACTCCACCGGCTCCTACATCGGCCGCTACCTGCACGGCTGCCCCGGCGAGCGGCGCGGCGCGCCCGAGGGCGCCTGCTCGGCCCTGCCGCACGGCTGCGGGGAGCTGCCGCTGCCGCCCGGCGCCCCCGAGCAGCCCGAGATCTATTTCCTGCTCCGGCTGTAGGCTGCCGGCCCGCGGGAGGGCTGCAGGAGCTGTGGGGCCTCGGGGTGTGCCTAGACGCGGTGTCGTGCCGGCGAGCCGGTGGTGGTTCGACGTGCCCTTGGTGCCGGGGCCGAGGGAAGCGGGGCCGCCCTCCGTCCCTGAGGGAAGCGGGGCCGCCCTCCGTCCCCGCGGGGCTGAGGAGCCCGCCGCCGTTTGTAGCATTCTGTGTCCGTAATGCCGCGCTCCAAAGCTGACATTGCACTGAAGGCAATACCGCTTTCCTCGTGTCTCGTCCTCCTGCTTGGAAAAACACTTTTGGTGATCACTTTCGGCCTTTTGTGAGGGTTCTCCAAAGCACTGTGGTGTCTGGAATGCTGGACCGGGGCTTGTTCTGCCCAACAGGCAGCAACCCTTCATTAGCATCACTTGTTCTGTATTGTTACTATAAATTTTACATGTTTTCATGTATGAACTGTGATTCTGCAGCAATTGGTTTGTAGAATTAGGGTTAGTCCAGATTTGTGAGTCCTGTGTAGATTTGTCTTCTGCCCTCTCTACAAAGTATGACAACAATTGTCTTCCTTTTTGTTTACTGTGTTCATTTGGGACAGAGTGGAATGTGGGAGTAATTCTGCTTTTATGAATGAAAACATTTATTTTCTGATTATTTTGTTATGTATTTTTGCTGTTGGTCGTGTGAGTAGCTTTGGTACAGTAGATCCACTTTCTGTATATTTGTAATTTTATTGCTAAATTGTCGACAGTCAGTGGAATATTTAAACTGACATGGTAGAGTGACTATTTTGACTGTTCACCTTTTTCTATGAACGCTGAAAGTGAATTGGGTGAAGGAATCTCAGACACCTAAAGCTTCCCTGAAGGGAACAACATAGCTTTATTTTGGTTGGAAGATACTCTTTGCCTTTGCTGTAAGTTTTTCTGATATGTCAAAGACGTACCTTTTACCTCTTTCTTTTGTAATGCAGAGTATTATTATTCTTGAAAATGTCATTAAAATAGATTTTTAAGCACTTGGTTACATGTTTTCGGAACAAATATCCATCCAGATAGATTGGTGCTGAATGCAGCAGCAGTTAGTGGCTGCACACATCTGTCTTGGCAGGAGATGCAAGGAGGATCCTCCATTTCACAGGGTGGTTCTTGGCTGGAGGTGGCAGCTGGGCTCTGCTCTCCCTTCTGGATCAGGAGCCACATTTGAGTTTGTCTGACTGTTCCACTCGGGCTCTTACACACGAGAGTGCCTGTGGGATCACTTGGGAGAGGACAGTGGATTTTCTAAACAAAAAGCATTTTTCCATGGAGGACCAGAACCAGACGCTGGATTAACCCCTTAAGCTTTGGACCTGGATTTCTTTCTCATGGCCAGGATGCAGTCTGGGAGCTGTGACTGAGGCCTAGCAAAAGTGCCTTGTAAGGAAGCAAATGAGAAGATCTCCGTTGTGGGAGGTGAAAAAACTTGCTTTAATTGGAAATAATTTAGAAAAATTGTATGGTGCTTGCAGGAGGTCAGGATAGATTATTGCTGCAGTGTTTTATCACATAATCTCTTATACTCTTATCTTAATTTTAGAAATTAATCCAGATGGGGACAGGTCTTTGTGTGACATGACATTTGGCTAATGGAGCAGGGCAGAGTTTCTGTAGTGCAGCTGAAGCCAAATACACGTCAGCCTGTATATGTATATATATAATATTCACTTTTAGTTTAAACGAGCAAGGTTCATTTTCTTTCATGGAGTGGAAGCAATACAAACAAATGCACGTGCTGCCAATCCAGCTGCTCCAGCTGCTGTGGGGATGTTCCTGCTGTGAAGTGTCCTGGGGCACCTGAAGCACCCTGCTGACCCTCCTGTGCCCAGCTGATGTGGGGTTACTGGTGAGTACTGGGGATGCCAGCCCCGAGCTGGAGTGGGACACTGCCTCAGAAATGTTTGTGTCACTGAATTGGTGCTGCAGCAGTGATTTGGGGTCCCAGAAAATCCAGCCTGGAGGTGACATGCTCTGTGCAGCAACTCCAAAACTCCGTGGGAGTGGGACACTTTGGGAAAACTGCAAATGCCTCCTTCTCCAGCTTTGTGCCCTGGATTGTTAGCTGAAGGGATGCTGAGGTCAGAAATTCGGCACCTCCAGAGCTCAGCCTTGAAACTCTGGGGACAGCTGGTGTGTGGATCCCAGCAGCACTGTGCAGAGCCAGGGGTTTTAGACATCTGGCTGAGACAGACCAGCAATCTGCACTTCAGATGTTAGATAGCCATTCAATTTTATTCCTCTCCCAAAATTAATTAAACTGTCTGAACAAGGCTGCAGCTTGTTGAAAATCCATCTAGTGAAGACTTTTCTGGTGCAGAATCTGCACCAACGCAGAATAAACAATCACTTCAGCCTAGTAAAGGCTAGTGGCTCACATCCTAGCTTAGCAGGCTTAAATTGCTTTGCTAATTCATGACAGAAGGCATAAATTAAGTTGTTCAAGAATCTGCAGAGAACAGATGGGTTTGGAATATTACTTTTGAGAAATTATATATTTTCTAATTTAAAGCCAGGAAGGGTGTCCAGTTACATTTATATGATTGTTTACTGGAATATCAACAGGCCCTGCTTTAAACAGTTGTACAGAATATTCCAGGTGTTGGGAGTCATTCCACATCCCTCACTCCTGCACAGGAGCCCCTGTTCTGACACTCTGGGAGGAGAGCTTTCATCCTGAGTTTTCCATTTGCATCTTAAATAAGATTAAGGTATGAATAAAAGGTAAGAATAAAACATTTTGTGAAAGAACAGCCAGATTTTCACTCAGGAGCATGTTGAGTCAATTTTGTTCTTGGACTGATGCTCATTTGGATTTGTTTTGATAAGATTTTAATGCTGTTCCTTTTCACAACAGGGAAAATCGTGCAGGACCCACAGTCACACACGAGACAGTGGCACAGTGATTACACTGATTACTGATCTGCTTAGACATGCAGGAGGAGAACCAAATTGAATTTCTACCAGAGATTATCTTTTAAAGTCCCGTGTTGGTTGAGACAGAAGGAAATTAAAATGAACAGTGCCTGGCTGGCCTGGTTGAGGTGGGATTTTGTGTGTGCAGAAAGCCAAGAAGTGGAAATACCTTCTTTTGCACGTGACTTTAGTGTAGCTGTGGACCAGCCAGGAGGGTTTGCAGTCGGGGTGCAGCTGAGTTAGCTGGCCTTGTCTGTGCTCCCAGGGCTGGCCTGGCAGATGGGCACGGCTGGGTTTGTGTGTGAGGGGAGGCATGGACGGAGGGCAGCTGCAGTGCAGTGCTGTGTGAGTCCTTGCTTTAGGAACAGCTGGGGGTGTAACACCACACCCTCTGCAGCAGAGCCTTGTCCTGTCCCTGCTGCAGTCCCAGCAGCGTTTGGAGGCTCCAGCTCCAGCCTGAGGAGCTCTGCAGCCTCTCTGCAGGTGGAGCCACTGGATTTGCTGCTCTGGTTCTGTGTGTGTGTGTGTGCAGTGAAAACACAGGAAAGGGATGCTGAAAAGGGATGCTGAGGTTCTGAACAGCCTGAATCTCACTGGTTGCTTGGCTGGGCACTTGCAAATAAAGATAAATCCCATTCTTCCTGGTGGGTGCATTTAAAGGAATGGGAACTGCCATGTTAGACTTCATAATGACACAGTAACAGTTCCTTTATGTTCAAACCAGTCAGGTCTTTTCCAAACCCCACTATTCTCTGATCTCATCCCAGCACACAGGGAATGCAGCCATGTACAAAGTGACACCAGGGTGGCACCTGTGGTGTCTGGCAGCCCAGAACTTTGGGTACACAGCCCTGCAGCTGTGAGGGAGGGCTGTGGCCTCTTTCCTCGAGGAACCACCCCTCTGGGCACACTGCTCTGTGCGGCTCCACGAGGAGCAGCAGACTCCTGGAGCTGGGATGAATGAAGCACTGCTGCACCACGGCTGGGCTTTGCAGTGTCCCTGCAGGACCTGCCCTGGGCACTGAGCTCCCCCAGGCCGGGGTGGCAGGGACTCCCCTGCAGCTCTGCTGCTCTGCTCCAGCCCTGCGCCAGGCATTCCCTGCATGGGCAATCAAAGTGCAGCTGGGGCAGACTGCCGTTCCCCAGGGCAGCCACACAGTATTTATGTGATCCCATTTCAAGGACTAATAGACTTGGGGGAGCACATCTTTAAGGTAACAGATGTCTGGAAGCAGATGATTAATTTGTGCTGAAATTTCAAGCACTCATTTAACTTGCAAGCGCTTTAAAGTGGATTCTTTAATTTAGTGTTTCACATCTTGAACATTTATAGTCAGAATCTTATTTCAGTTAAAGATGTGTTTGTCTAAAGTGATACTTTTAAATTCAGTGGAGTTCTGCAAATGAACACTGCTCAGAGAATGGAATATGGAGAGCTGCAGAGTGCTGCAAGCCATGTTAATTTGACTTTCTTATTTCCAGGGCTGGTAACATTTTTTTGGTAACATGAAAATTCAGCTGCATCCCAGAGGATCCTCTTGCAGTGCAGAGTTCAACAAGATGAGGGAACACAACTGAGTGTTAAATTTGGGTGCTTTAGACAGTTTGAATCCAGTGTAACTGGTGCAGTGGCTGGAGTTTCCCCAGTGTGTGCTGGGGTGGGGTTTGTTTCTTGTCTGCTTGTCCAGGCTTGGTCCATCTAAAGCTGTTCCAAAGGCACCAGAGATGGAAGTTTGGTTTAAAGCAATGTGTCAGGCTTTTTGTACTATTTCATATTTGATTTCCAAACAGAGGTGGTGCTGAGTGAGCAAGATGGTAATTAATGTTCTTGTATTTGTTTTGTCTTGGGACTATGATGTTAAATATTTAGAAGGTGCCTAGCGTTCTAACGGTGAGGGTGCACGTGCTGTTTGAACTAATTTAGACAAGCAGTAGTGATATGGGCCTGAACCCCACTTTTCTGCTGTGGCTTAAGCCCCCTGGATGGATTTGGCCTCTGCAGGAGCTGCTCTGGGCTCTGGCTGCACAGGGTGTGGAAGGGGACTGTCTTTAACTGGGTGCTCGTTAGCTCCCTAAAGCTAATTGAGAGGTGGAGCTGCAGCGTGGAGCTGTGTAGCACTGGGCCCATGCAGCCCTGGTTGCAGTGGGGTCCTTCCCCACCCAAACTGGGAGAGAAAACTGCAGAGGATTTCATCTCTCGGCATTTCCCGAAGCCAACGTGTGCTTTCATGAGAGAAACCAAGATTGACCAATCAATGCAGTTTTTAATTGGAAAGATGAATCCTCAGCAGCTCCTCTGGTCTGTGTTCCAGGCACAGAGCTGAGCCAGCCCTGCACTGCTGGGCTGAGAGCAGCAGTGAGGGAAAAGGGCTGATGCACACGTGTCCAGGAGCTGCCCCTTTGGTTTCCTGGCAGAAAAGCCCTTGTTCTGCCTCACAGGAGGTGTTTCTCTGGCCAGTAACTCAGGCCCATCCATCACCAGAGCAGCCTCTGCTGTAGGTCTGTGCTGGCAGTGGTGCAGAGGGATTCGGTCCAGAGCCAGAGGAATTGGTTCCTCTCTCTGGGGTGCTTTTGGCAGCACCTCCTGCTGCACATAATGGAGATGCCGAAAGCTCAGCAGGAGGAATCCACACAGCAGGCCTGTGCTGCTCTGGTGGGAAGCTTTAAACAAGGAGTAACTCCATGTCTTTGGTTTGAGGTATATAATAATCTACACTAGGCCAAAATTCTGAGTTGGTGGCCAATCACCTCCCATGTATTTTCATTTGTTACCAAGTGGAAGAACTGTGGGGAGTGATGGCAGTCCTGCAGTGCTGATCCACCAGAGCCTTCCCAGGCTCTACAGTCCTGAGGCTGCAGTTGCTGAATGTATTTCTGTTCATTTTTTATTGAAATGGTTTTAGAGTTGGTCAAACTGTTATTGGTTGATTGGTGAGAACTGGAATGTGATATCCAGTTTGGATTTCCCAGACACTTTTCCTGAGGCATCTCCTCTGCAGAGGGACAGGAACACAAC